GAAAAATATTGAAAAGAAGAATCTTTCTATTATTTCTTACCTATTTTTTTGGATTCAATCTTAGATATTATCCTTTTTTTTGTTACAATACTCTAAAGTTTTAAAAAAATTAAATTAAAACAAAATAATACATAAATTAAGAAAAGAAAATTTTGTTATTTGTTACTTTTTTGGGTGGAGGATCTAAATCTTTAATTGTTATTTTTTCTTTTTTTTAAAAAAAATATTGTTGTAACTTTTATTTCTAATTCAGTAAAATAATACATAAAGTAATATATACAATATAATATATAAATAGTAATATAAAACATAAATAAAATAAAAAAATTTATTATATGAAATAAAAAACAAAATTATTGAATAAAAAATCAACCAAACTTATGAGGTATGTTAATTAATTAATAAGAGATATATTGATAACTATGTATATATGTAAGAGATATTTTAGTCTTAAAAAAAATTAATTTTCTATTTCTCCTTCTGTTTGTTTTTTTAAAAAATATAGCGGAATTTTTTTAACTTCTTCCCAACAACACAAAACTACTTATGCTTTCATTTAAAAGGAGTTCCGAATTTGCCAAACACTTAATTTCTCAACAAAAAAGAACACTTCTGGCCTCCAACAATAATGTCAAACATGCTCTAAGTCTATTTGTTTTCAATGTTTGAATCTTAATCATTAAGCGTGTTTGTTTTCTTATTTTACAAGCATCTAAAAGATCTGAATGATCAACATTTATAATTAAGTCTTAATATCATTAAGATGTCTAATTAAAAGTTTCTACAAAGATGACAATCCATAGCTACTTCATCTACTTTCACAAACCATCCACAATCATCATTAAGCACTATTGTTAATTGTCAAAATCAATCAATATCATCCTTAACAATTATTTACAATGCCAACAATTAATATCGTATCCACTAATTACTATCTTCAATTACCACCATTAGTCAACATCTAACCTCCATCATCATTTGTTTCTATCATTAACTATTAGTATTATTGCACTATTAATTATCAGTCACCACCAACAATCATAATTAATCACTATTGTTAATCATTATATCATAAGATACCCTCCACAATCACCATCAGTGAATATTCAACAACATCCCAAATTGACACACACAATCACCATCTTTAGTCATCACCACCCACCATCTTCATGTAAAATTTAAAAACAATCTATTAATATAATACCATATCAATTTAGTATTTTATTAAATTTTATATTTATAATTTTTTAAACAAAGACAATTTTTGTACATCAAATATTGAGAAGAAAACAATTTTAACTAATTGATATTCTGATCTTAATGCAATATTTTAAGATCTATAAGGGAGTCAGCAACAATTTTGATGGAGTCAACCTATTGATTTTGCTGATGGAAAAATACATTGAAAAGGGTTGTGGCTTAGGCAATAAAAATCCTTATATTCATTCATATAACTTCACGTATAGATAAGTCAATTATTTTATCTTCATAAATAATTTAATTTTAAGTTGCCTCCAATTATTTTCTTTTGATATGTTTGGGAGACATTCTTAGCAGAATCAAATTCGTCTAATTAAATTTATTTTAAAAAAAAAAGAAAAAATACAAAATAAAAGTAAAAAGAAAAGAATAAATAAGATATAAGATATTTTTATAAAAGGAGTTGAGTGTATCGATTTAATAGATTTTATAGTGACACAAAGTAGAGCAGATACCAATTATACTTTTCATCTATACTTAAGTGAATTTGGGAATCGATTTAAGTGATTTTTTTAATAGTTATTTAATGTAGTGTTTTTACAAAATATAAAGTCTTTAATTTTACATAATATACTATAATTTTTATAGATAGTAGATAATTCAAGTTACGAATAAGATGTTATCCATTCGTTTATAATATATTGCGTTGGATTTTGTTGTAATTGTTTTTTTTACGAGTTTAAAGATTTGAATAATTTAATTTAAAGTTTTAAAATATTTATTTTATTGAAAAGTAATCAATAATTCATTCTTTCTCTCTCTCTTTTTTTTTATAAAATATTTGAAGATTTTTCATTTCATTTACTAAGTTTAACATTGTCTAATAAAAAATCATAAAATTCATTATTAGATGCATTATTTTAAATATTGTGCATTTGTGTGTTAGATTATGGGATGGATCTAATCACAAGCATAACAATAGTGACTTGATAATTGCAAGAAATAGAATTTGAACAAACAACATAAATTTCATTAATTTAGGTCTTAGTTACGTGCACTCACATTAGTTTAGAAAATTATCTCTCATACCACTTTTTCTTCACCAAATATATGTATCTGGCGCACCCAAATACATGTATCTATGATACATGCAGGTCAAATTAGTGTAATTTGTTCCAGATGCACTGCATTCAAGCGTAATTTACATGTATCAGGGATATACTGACTCTCTCGCTCGCCTCTCTTCTATCTAGCTTGCCTCTCTCTTCTTTTCCTTGCCTCTTCCTCTCTTGCTTGTCTCTTATGTATCTGTATTTCAGAAATGTATCTGGTATCTGGTATCAAAAATATATGTATCTAATATCAAAGATACATGTTGACTCTCTCGCTCGCTTCTCTCCCATCTTGCTCGCTCGTCTCTCTCTTATCTCGCTCATAATAATATACTAATTCTTTCTGACACTACCTTAATCGTCAGTTACTATTTCTTGTATAAGCAAAAGTGAAAAAAGAAACAAAAAAAAAAGGTCAAATAATATATTTTTTTAAAAGGGAAAAAGGACAAATATATTCCGAACTATCGTAAATGATATCTAAATACCCTTCATTATACTTTTGGGACATTGATTTCCTTACCGTTCAAATTTTGGGACGTATATAACCTTTCTACTAACGGCAGAACACGTGTCGTAATCTAAAAACGCCTACCCAAAAACCACCCGAATTTATTAAAACCCACAAACAAATTATAACCCATAACCATGTACTCTTTTATCCACCCATTTTAGTTCTCAATTCCATTATAAACAGACACACATGATTTTTTGTTAGCAAATGCAATTTCATAAACCCATTTTGATCCTCAATAGATTATAAACAGACCTAAAAGAATTTTTGTTAGCAAATGTCAAATGAATTTTTGTTATATTTAGATTATAAAAATAATTTATAATACTCCACTATAAACATTTTTTTCTCCTAAAACTTTGGCAGCAATGAAGCACGTCAAATTCTTTGACCTCCAAGTTATGGTTGTGGTCGAGGAGAAGAAAGAATTCTTTGACCTCCATTATAAATTTTTTTAAATTATTTTTTATAAGCTAAATATAATAGTCACATTTTTAGCATTACGAGGAATTTCATTGAATACTACATCAAATTATGTCTTCTCCTCAACCACAACTGGTGCATCTGTTGCTGCTCGACCTGGGGCGTTGATAACGGCAACAAATCTGAAGATGCGGCTGAAACTTCAAGCTTGACCATCTTCTTTGGTGCTTCAATGGTGGTAAGAGGGCAGACGAAAGTTGCTCGATAGTGATGGAGTTGGGGAGTGCGAATGGGGAGTTCTAGGGTTTTGATGGGGAAGAAAATTGAAGCCTTTTAATTGGACAAATTACAGAAATACACACATTTTGTTTCACTTATTTCCATTACTCCCTATTACTTTTAAAAATCTCCAAAATTCCTTATTTCTTTAATGTATCTGAGCAGCATATTAATGTATCCGAGCCAGTATTTAATGTATCTGAGCTGCATATTAATGTATTCGAGCCAGTATTTAATGTATCTGAGCTACATATTGTGTATTCGAGCTAGTTTTTAATATATCCGAGCTACATATTAATGTCCGAGCTAGTTTTTAATGTATCCGAGACAGTATTTAATATATCCAAGCTACATATTAATGTATCCGAACTTCAATTATTGTATCCAATTTTTTTTATTTTTAAGGGATTAATGTAATTAGAAACTTATTAGGGATAAATTGTAATTTCACATAAAAACTATGAAATTTATGTAATTTACACTAAAAAAGTTATATATCCGCGGAGGTTGTTCCCACCAATCACCTTTTTCTCCACAAACAAAAATCAAAACTCAAAATTAGGAGGAAGGGTGAAATTCGTTGTTAAACTATGCAAAAGGTTCAAACTTATCCTTCGTTTAAAAATAGGAAAAATTGTATATAATAGCAAACTATTAATTCAAATTAAATGTTATAAATATAGTTTGATTTAATTGTACCCTATAACAAACTATTGTTATTTTCGCCTCTCCCTGGTGGAATCTCGCTCGCCACTCTCGTTTTGGTGGCAGTCTCGCTCGCCTCTCTCGCTTTTATACAAACACAAGTGTATAAAATATGTTTGTGTTTGTATAAAGCGAGAGAAAATTGTATATATACATATATTTTCGTTCCTCTTCCCCAGATCTCGCTCGCCACTCTCACTCGCCTATCTCACTTTATACAAACACAAATGTTTACATTGCGTTTGTGTTTGTATAAAGCGAGAGAAAATTGTATATAAAAATACAAATGCATATATTTTCATCATATACACTTATGATTATACAATCTTCCCCTGCCTAGTTTTCTTTTATCTTTCTCTCTTTATACAAACACATATTATACAATTGATCTTTTGTATATGTATACCGAAATAGATTATACAACTGCTTTCTTTTGTATATTTATAGCAAATTATACAACTGCTTTCTTTGTATATGTAAAACGAATTATACAACTGCTTTCTTTGTATATGTATAGCGAAATATACATATTTATGTTTGCTATGGAGCGCAATTATGCAAACTATAGTTATATCATACAAATATAATTTTTATATTTGCTATATGTGAAAGTTGCTCCACCACCAACTAGTAACATCGAGAGCATATTTGACCCCACGATTTACCAGAGGATAAATTTGCTTCATTTCGCATAGTGAGAGACAAATTTATCTGTTCATATATAGCCTTTCAGTCTATATATTATCTGTTCATTTAGGCAAAAGTAGTCAAGTAAGAACTCAATGTTTCATTCTACCTGGAATTAAAATAGTCCAGTAAGGTATCTGTATCATAACATGAAACCATTTTACTCCAGTTTCACTCCATAAAGTAATTCATACGCGTGCTTGTAGATACGAACTTTCTCCATCATTGTACACATAAATATAGTCTACCAAGGTGGTTTACAGAGAAAATTTGACACCTTCATCATCAGCTGAAGTTCCCTTAAATATTGCAAGCTTCCCTTTATGTTCAAGCAGCTTCAAAGCTCGCATAAGAACTGTACGGTCTATTCCATGAAGCTCTGAAAAATCAAAACGCCAAAGAAAAAAGAAGAAGATAATAGCATAAGATCCCATAAGTCCATGAAGTTTGTCAGAGGATAAAACCTAGTTAAACCATGTACGCGAGTTCATTACTAACCATAAAATACATACAGAGTAGCAAGATGTTAAACGTAGAATGTTCAACTATTACATGTTTATGATCGAATAGTTCAAGATTGAAATAAGCACACGATCATATTAGAAAAGGAATAATTGAAAGCGTAAACTCTTCTCAGTGAAAATATGCTTCGTGCATAGTAGGGAAAGTGAAATGCCAAGACCTAAGCTAATATATGCAAAATATTTGCAGAAAGAAGAAAATAATAGCCAATATTTTTTTGAAAAGGAGAAAACAATATTGGTTATACTTTCATCTTCTTTCATTAAATATTTTGCATACGTTAGCTTGGGTCTTTAACTATTTGTGGTATCTAATATCTTGTAGATTCTAAAACCTAAATTTTACCTGTTCCACGGGACTCCACCCCAGAACGTATTTCTTCAACTGTCATAACACTGTCTTCCAGCCCATTCTCCTTCACCTAATCAGACAGATAATACTTCCATAAGGAATTTGATAAGGCTCGGTAATGGCAGGCCCAGCAAATTGCCAACACAAAAACAATGTGACAAGGTTGAATATGCTGCTGTTCATCATTTCATTCAAAAGAAAACCAGACACCATGTCTTTCTGCATCCATCCCCAAATATGGTATATAGCAGTCTTCCAACAGGGAACCTAATTGCTAAACATTAAAATTGCAACTTTTATAGGATAACACTCCGTGAGAAATTCGACTCAAATGACCAAACTGAGAGAGATTTCAGATAAATTTAAGAAGAACAAGAAAGCAGGAAAGTGGAAGCTACGCAGAAGGGAAAAGGGGTCATTGAAGACTGATGATAAACACGATCTTGCAGCGCCACCCTTTATAAATGGATAACCCATAGAGAAGAAAATGGTTCTATACAAAGATAGTTATATGAGGTGGTAGGCGCGGAGCGAGGGAGAGCATGAGGAACATAGATCGGGATTATAACTCATAAGGTGGCTACATGATTCTCTTTCTCCTTTACTTAATCTCTACTTTGCTGTTTAACAACATCATATGACATTTGAGTATGGTAACCAAGAATGAATCCTATATCCACTCAACTAATCATGGTATAGTCCCCTCAAATGCAGAGCCATTCCTAAACGCTACCAGGTTCTATAATCCACTAGCATATTGAGTTAGGACTGCTAAATTGAGAAAAAATATCAATTATCATAAGGTTGTACTACTACTCACAAAGTTTACAATCAAGTCTGCCCAGTCTTGAATACGATGCCATAGGACTAGGCATTTTCTATGACCTTTATCCATCCATTCTGCACGACCTGTCAAGTAGATCAGAGTCAGAGATCTAGCCTTCTGCAGTACAACAGACTCTCATTAAGGTCCTGTATATTGTTCATGTGGCAAGATCACTTACCATCAGAAACCAAAGCCGAGAGAAATGCCTCCCTAGCTTCATGACTCAGAGATCCTGCACTATCAAATATCATCTGTATTCAGTTGTGGCACACTAATATTGCCACCATTCCAGATTACAAAAGATTTTCATCCAGTCCGAGGCAAGCTATACCACATAAAGAGATAATCACATTTTCTTTTAGCTAAAAACACAAGGATTTTGCATTTTCTTAAAAAAAATCAACCAGTACCGGCAAGCTTTACCACCTAATGCTATTGTGATTGAAATTTCTTTTGGTTGATATGTTCTATGAACAAATATGCATACTTAATGGCATAGAAAAACTGAAGAGATCTCTTCAGTAACCTTGTGCTCCAGAGGAATAAGTATTACAAATTCACGCCGTTAAACTTTAGAATCACATAAATTTAAACAGTTTGATCATTTATATGAATTTCTTACTTCCCTTGGAAACATTTGCAGAGGAAAAGAAATTCATTGGAGGCAATGTCCATGTGGTTTAAACACAATCTTTTGTTACTAGATAAGCTAACGTGAATTACTCCATGGCATGCTACTATAATATAATTCCATAATATTTTGGTAAGTGGTAGCATAGCAGAAATTTTCTCAATGGATCTGAAACTTTTAAAACATTTTACATTCAATTGTAATGATATTTACATTTTGCTCTTTTTCTGTTTTGCAGCTGTTTCTTATTAATTTTCCTCTAACCATCCCACTTCCTTGGAAATTAGATGAGTAACCTACTGATTCACATGTAATTAATCCATTTTCTTCCCTGGTTGTAGGATAATCTCTGTATCATTGGTTATTTCAACAACAAACTGAGAAAATCAGCATAAACATATTTTATGCTCCTTTTCATGCTGGGACTAGATCATCTCAGTTCAAATGTGCATGCATGCATGAGAATGTCTATTTTGTTTCTGCTTCCTTGCTTAATGTCCAGCACAGATTCGTTTTGACAATCTTGTAAGAATCCAGAGGGAGATAGTTACTTCTTTCAAATTTAAATGAAACTCATTTCGCTTCGGGACATTCCAGAATGTGGACACCATTTCATTTCTATACAATTTTCAAGACCTTTAAAGAATTCAAATGCATAACATATGCATTTTATAGCTCTGTAATATCTTCCGATAAGAAATCACAACTTTTTAAACTATTACTTCAATATTTTCTTCCATTATCACTACTATAATGTATATTTTTAGAACAGATCATCACTATTATAATATAAGTCAAATTAACATCTTAAATTTCACATGAGCTGGAATGGAGGCAGTGCTATTTTAAGTTCCTTTGGCATTCAAGATCACTAGCTGTTGTTATAAATTTTAACCCACTTTACTGGATTTTTACCCAAAGCAATAATTTGGGGAATATATATAAAGCAGCTCCTTGGCAGAACGTCGAATATATAAAACACTAATAAGAAGAAGCACTCACTTTCAATAGCAGCATTACTGAACAATGGAAAGTCTACCTCCAGCGCAATTACAAAGATCTTTTGGGTTCGACAGAAATCAATTATGAGCTCTTTCCATAGTTGTATCTGCTTCTCTCTAGTTTCCCTCACAGGCTGCAAACTGGGAAAGAAAATAAATTATCATAAAACTAAAAACAAGCTTCCTGTTACACGTTAAAAGGAAAAAGTGTTTCATCCACCCAATAAAAGACTGGATGGTAGATGAATGGAACAGGTACAAGAAGTCCTTAGTGATTACTTGAAAACAGACATTAGCTTATCAGAAATCCATAGGGATAACTGCTTCTAGGTACTTTCCAGTTATAAGACACAACAATAAGAAAGCAATCCAAACTAAATTTCTGCAGGTAGATCTAACTGATTTTGTCATCCGAATAATGAGACTGCTTCCATGCACTGATTAGAACCTTTCTCTAGGAATCATTCTATTTACTTTCTCTTCATTAGCAAATACATCCATCCATCATGTACCCATATAAATTTAGTCCTAAAGCAGAATGGATAGACTCATATAGCCAACCTCCACTGATGTGGGAAATTGGGGTTGAGGCCTAGCTGATTGATATCTACTGCTGTCAAAATGCAGGTTCAACACACCGTCCAAGAAAAGGTTTTCCATATATTTTGACCAGACAAGTTCAAATACTAAATCCAGAAACTGAAATTTATAGCCAAGTGTTAATACATATAGACATGGAAATAAGGACAGGAGCAAATTACGTGAAGTAGGGTGGATAATTAAAGAAGTTAGGCAGCTTGAATTCGCCTAGCTTCTGCATCTTTCCTGAATTACTTCCTTCTCTGCTTTACACCTGCTCATTCAAAAATAGTACTTGTAACAAATAAATATATAAAAGAAACAAGGAAAGAGAAAAATATCACTAAAATAAAACCCAATATTAGTGGTGGTAAAGGCTGGTTGGTTGGATTTGGACAAGTAAAAAATGAGTTAAATAGAAAAGGGGTCATAACCCAACCTGTTCATATCTACACGGGTTGGTTTGTGAATAATTCTGGTCCAACCAATATCTTGAAGAATAAATTTATCCAAAAAAACAAATCTGAATTCAAAAAAACATATTTCTTTACTGTTGTCTATTGAATTTCCCACAAAAAAGATATGCATTTGCTTGACATTGTCAAAATGGCTTCAGAAATAACGACATAGAAGGTTCGTTTTCCTGCATGCTTAATTGAATTCAATAGGAAGTTCAGGTGATATATCGTGATTTCAAGTCATCAAATGTGCCTTTGGGTGATGACTTCAAGCCAAAAAGAGAGAGAACATAAATAGCCTGGAGCTTTTGCATGTCATCAGATTATGCATTTGACGTGTAGCCCACTATTCTCACTTATCAGAAGAAAAGAAAAAAAAAATGTAAAACATTGCTATCACTAAGCAAACAACAGTCTTTCAGAAACTCCCACTCCAGAGCTCCTAGAGTCAGAATAGCATCTGACATTATCTTGAGATATGAAAATGCTGGCATGGTAAATCCAAATCAGGAAGAATTGAGAAGAATGAATCACGTAAAACTTGGGCATACCAAATTCAATCTCCCAAAAATTGACACTAGTAACATTTGTATCAAGTTGCTGAATTGGACCACAGAGAAGCATATATGACAAGTGTTCAGTATAATGCTTTCCGCAAAAAGGGAAAATGAGTTCCTACATTTGATCCAACTCCTAATCAATCCAACACCTAGTCATTGTTATCAACCTGAATTGGACCACAGAAAGCATATATGACATGTGCTGAGTACAATGCTTTCCGCCAAAACGGGAAAATGAGTTCCTACATTTATTCCAACTCCTAATCAATCTAACAACCTAGTCATTGTTATCAACCTTTATTATCCAAAAGTATCACCAATACACAATCCTTGTAGTACCTTACTGGCTTATCATACACCTCGTTTACTAACTATATGTCACCTAAAATACAGGCAAATGATAACAGTTTCCTCTTCCTCCATACACATCAAGAAACAGAAAAAAACAAAACTTTACATAAAATTAGTATCTGGGTGTCTTTAATAATGGAAAAGGAAAACAAAGACAAAGAGTACATACTTCAGCAAGCCAGAAACTCAGAAACCCAAACTTAACTACTTCAATAATCCAAAGGTTCTCTCTTTAGAGATGCCCAACAGAAGAAGAACCATATTTAAACTACAACACAATAGGAATTTATAATCACACAAAATAAAATTTTTAATCAAGAAAGAGAATCTAATAGAGATATTAGATTAGCACACCACAGTCGATGCTCCAAAGTTGCAATTTCACCCACAAAAAAGGGGTTATTTTTCGTCTTTCTTCCACAAAACTAATCTGAAGCACCTCAATTTCACTTGGACACAACTATCTGTAAATTAGGTTATGATGAAACTTTGGAAAAAGGAATGGGGGAAGAAAAAGTCACGTGCAGAAACTTTTGTTCTGTTGAAAAACTCACGGTAGTTAAGGATCGAGACAGAAAATGAAACCAAACTTGGATTATTAATGCTCCAATAGAAAGAAATAGGACTATTTTGAGTCTAAACTCAAAGTTAGTGGACCATTTTATGCCTTTTATCAAATGGTGTGTCTGAAAAAAAAATAACAAAAAAGAGAAAAAAATGAAAATGGAGTGCTACTTCTTCACTTGTCGTCGTCTTCAATTCGATTCAAGACTGCCAATCACAGTAGAAGCACCCCACCCCCACCACGAACCCAACAAAAGGTAGTATATTTTTCTCTATCTTTATATGTTGAGTCTAGAATATGAATGCTAACTTGTCAATCTTGAAAAATCCCAACTTTCTTGAAATTGTTTAGTGGACTTGGAGCTTTCGACTTTATTTGAAAATTTGAAGTGTAAAAGATTTGCCTTTTTTTCGTTTTCCCACTATTTGTCTATTTCTTGGTTTGTGGTCTGGCTCCATTCTTTGGTGTGGTGGATGATTTTGAGTTTAGCTTCTTGTTATATTTTTTTGAGGATTTTAGAGGGACCCCATGTTGAATCATATAGCATAGATGCTTTATCTTCAGTTTAACAAGTTATTGTAGTGAAATCAGTGATCTCCCTTTTCTTTGATTATACATCGTAGTAGTTGGGATTTAGGTTTTGGCTGCTGTTACATCTGATTCAGTGTTTGTTACTCATTACTTCTTAATTTATGTGACACTGTTTGACTAGGAACGGATTTAAGAAAGAATGGATGACTTTTGGAACTTGTGATCTAGAACAGGCCTTAGAGGCTGTAAATCAAGTCTCATTAAGGTGTAAAATAAAAAGAATTATACTTAAATTGTTTCTAAATATAGAAAGTAACATTCTTTTTTGGATAGTGGAAGTAGTAGTCTTTGTAGTTTGGTTAGAAATAGGTCGAAATAGAGAGGATTGATGATTTAGCTGATCCCAGGCTAGTTGGGGATTAAGGCATATTTTTTAAATTTTTTTTTTTTTTGCTTAATAAGGCATATTTGTTGTTGTTGTTGCATTAAATTGGAGAGCTTTTTGTTCTTTTATTACGCTTTATTTTGTCTCTTTATGTTTTTCCCAAGAAAAACAAGTACGTTATCGGGTACTTCGCCCCTGCAGCTTATCTGTCTTGGATTGAAGTTTCCAAGCTTTACAAAGTGAGAATTGTTAAATAATGGCAGTGTAAGTTTGGGATGTTTATCATTTGAATTTTCTATTTTATGTTACTTTAATAATCCAGTTACATTTGTATTAATATGTCTGATTTTCGGCTTATTGATGGCTAAACAGAGTGGCCTCTGCTCCTGGAAAGGTTTTGATGACTGGAGGTTATCTTGTTCTGGAGAGGCCTAATGCTGGTATTGTACTGAGCACAAATGCTCGTTTTTATGCTATTGTGAAGCCACTTTATGACGAAATTAAACCTGAAAGTTGGGCATGGGTGAGTGATATTTGCTGCACTTAACTGAATGATCAATTAACTGGAGTATGCATGACCATTTCTCATCTTGAGAAGCACCTTTTATATATTTCCCTACGCTTTATTCCTACTGTAAGGTAGTTTTCTTATTCCTTTTCAGGGTTGGACAGATGTTAAATTGACTTCTCCCCAGATGGCAAGAGAAACCATGTATAAACTGTCTCTTAAACACCTAAAGCTTCAGCCTGTTTCTTCAAGGCAAGTAGTTCAAGTCTTGTTAGTGAAAATAATATTTTTCTTTTTATGCTTGTGAATTTGCAAAATAGTCTCTTGTTTCTACTTTCTTTTTGGTGCCCTATGGGCTATGAGGTCCCTATGTGCATTGATGATTGAGTTTCTTTTGTAGCTAAACCAAATTTTGTGTAGGTTTTCTACTTTTTGGTATATGGCTTCTATACAGGAGTTTACTCCATCACTAATAAAAAAATTTACTTTATCAAAAAATGTTTGTGAATTTGCTGAAATTTATTTTTTAAAGTATTAAATGTAACCTGGCTACTGTATTCTTGATGAATTTGGTCTGTTTTGTTATAACATGAATTGTAAAGTCATCTAAATGACGAGCAATGTAGTAACTTATATTTTTAGTCGAACATCAGTGGATCAAGAAACCCCTTTGTAGAACATGCAGTGCAGTATGCTGTTGCAGCAGCCCATGCAACACTTGACAAAGATAAGGACACATTGCAGCGACTACTTCTGCAGGGTAATGTCTGACACTCTCACCTTTCTTATCTGAGGATGATGACATTTCTTTATATGGGACTCACCTCATAGTTTTTGTTAAAGAAATTAGAAAAATAATTTCTCAAACTGCATTATCCATGCAGGTCTTGACATAACTATCTTGGGTTGCAATGAGTTCTATTCGTATCGGAATCAGGTACTTTTGCAGCTTATTTTGTATCTCTGATATGGCATGTATCTCAGTGATAGATACCTGTGACTCCAGCTTGTTGGCATGAAGTGAAATTTGATATTCAGTAATCAACATACCCACAATTGTGACTTAATATTTTCTAATTTGTGGCAGCTGTTTCAAGATTTTCAGTGGGCAGGAAAAAAGTTCATGAGACTATATAGTGACCTGGCAATTTTAAAATTAAGGTTTTGCTCAATTTGTTGAATGATTTAAAGGAAAAATAGTACTGAGTACTACCTCAATCCTAGAAGTGACCTAAGTTGGCATAATAATCAATTTGACCAATTGCTGGACTAATGTTTGACTAAACCTTGTCTAAGTTCAGAGGATAACACTGGACAATATATATAATTCTTATTAGAAATACTTTGAAAAAATAAAAAATTGATTACGCTACTCCAAGTTGATTTATATAGTTGATGTTCAAATTCGTAAGTTTAAGACAAAAAGTAGAACTAGAGTAGACTACTTGAACAGAAGTCACAACTGCAGAAGTCACAACTGCAGAAGTTGTTAAACGGAGTGACTAGTCATGCACCAAGTGAGCACAACATTTGTAAGATTTACTTCACCCAGGGAAACAAATTTCTGCTTATTAGATTTATTAATGAAGTTATAGTATTTTGTATAGAATATAAAAACACTTCTACAAGGATTTGTATAGTATATCAAAACAAAATTGACACAAGCTTCAGTTATCCTGATCATCTTATTGCTAAGACTTATATATCTTGATCACATTGTGCTGGACTATAGGGACGAGAAATTGCAATGACATTGATACGGGGATTTTGTGTGGCTGGAACTGGTCAACTCGGATTACTCCTTTGTAATAATCATTGACTGAAATATTTAACTTTCTATCAGATTACATTGTGTAACAAATGCATAGGCTAAGATGCTGTCCAAGATGTTATGCTACAAACTAGTTTGCCTGTATTCTCTAGTTTGATAGTAATTGAGACCTCTCTGTTAATTATTTATGTAGATTGAAGCACGTGGGCTCCCTCTTACACCTGAGTCATTGGCTTCCCTTCCACCTTTTGCTTCGATCACCTTTAATGCAGAAGAATCAACTGGAGAAAATCGCAAGCCTGAAGTTGCAAAGACTGGATTAGGGTCATCAGCAGCTATGACAACTGCAGTTGTTGCCGCCTTGCTTCATTATCTTGGCGTTGTGAACCTCTCCTCTTTGGATGAGGACCAACTCCAAGGAAAGAAAGTAGCCGATCTTGATGTAGTTCATGTGATAGCTCAAACTGCTCATTGCATTGCACAGGGTAAAGTTGGCAGTGGGTTTGATGTTAGTTCTGCAGTTTATGGAAGTCAACGCTATATCCGGTTTTCGCCTGAAGTGCTCTCTTCTGCACAGGTCTTCTTCATATTCCATCTATTTGATTAATTTGTTGGCATAGTTTTGATCATAGATAAAGTAGTCTGTTAAGTTTTCTCAGAGGCTCTGTTACGGGAAAATAACCTGAACGGCTTCAGCATATATATTTTATAATTTAATATGCCAAAGACTTACTTTCTGAAGCTCATTAATAATCCATGTTTAAATTACTTTTGTCCTAGGATAATAAAGTTAATGTGCTCTTTCTAAATTGAGATAACTTCATACGAAGATGATGAATATGTTGCATCATTCAAACCCCTGTGAATTACATAGCTTTTGACTAAGAGTAATGTACTCTTTCCGAATTAAGATAAATTCATATGAAGATGATGAATATATGACATCATTCAAGCCCTTGGATCTTTGGTTAAGTGGTAAGAGCCTGTGTGTGATGTGTGAATTATGTTGATGAGGTGCAAGTCACGAGTTCGAACCTTGTGACGTACCAAAAGCCTAGTATTAAGAAGGGTAGTGGAGCGGGTCTTTATCCACCAAGTTTCGGACCATGTGCCAACTGGCCCTCATGAATTTCTCGCTTACTAAAAAGCAGAAAAAAAAATGTATCGTCACTCAAATATTGTTGCCATCACTACATGCTTCAGTGGTGCTAAAATCTAGATTGGTCACCCAAGGCCCAGTTTATACCAGGATTAATTATCGGTTGGCATTTTTCCAAAGAATGAAGAGGGGAAATAGTAATCGGGGGAGTGGTAACCATAAAATTACCTAAAGGGTTAATCATTTTTCCTCTAGTCTAAACCTCATGTTGCTGTAATGAGAAGTGCATAACATGTCAATACCAAGTGAGCTGTTGGGTTTTGCTAATTGTCAGACCACTTTTGATTGTCTGTGTAAATTTAATTTCTTTGTCAACAATTAATAGAGCTGCTTTTCCTTCAGGTGGATAGTTCGTCTTCTCTTTTTCATCATTGTTTGGCATAACAAATTTGATGTTGGTCTTAGCAAAGGTTTGGAAATAATTCATTCTCAATTCTGCAAGAACTTTTATGAAAGCCTTGATTTAATCAAAATCCTCAGTTGGTTCTTATGCTGAGGATATAAGATTAAGGAATG